CGCCCCTTCCCCCTCCCGGCCCCCAGCCCGCCCGCCGCGGCTGCTCGGCCCGGGCCCCCCGACCGCCCGGACCGGCTCCCCAGAGCGCAGGGCCGTCCGCCGCCCCTCGCTCTGCCGCCCTCCCGCGTTGCATTTCTCCCTTCTCTCTCCAGGCTCTCTTTCCAGTTTATTTTTTTACCTTTGTCTTCCTAGTTTAAATTTTCCCTCCTAATCGTCTTTCCTTCTTCCACTATCTCTTTCGTTTCTCTTTGATTTTCTGCCTCTTCCTCTTTTTCCTGTTATGTTCCACTCTTTTTTTCCACTTTATTTTTAATCATTCTTTGTCTTTATTTTCATTCTGCCCTTTCCCACTTATTTCTCTATGTCCTTTGTTATTCATGGCTTCCCCCCCCCTTTTTTTAAGAACTGAAATCTTTCTCTAATTTATTTCTTTTTAAAATGACTTTACCTTCTTAAATTTTCTTTCATTTTCTTCTTTTTCGTTCTTGCCCACTTTATATTTTTTCTTTCTCCTTTTTTCCTACCCTCCTTTCAAGTTTTCTGGGTTTTCTCTCTTCTCCATTTCTGCTCCTGCCTGCTCTCAAGACTTTCTCTTTCCTATTCCCGTGTTCCCTGACTCTTGCACTTTCTTCTTATACGATTTTGATCCCACCTCTCCGAGCTCAAGGCCACTTCTGCTGCGTTTCTCTGGCCCTCCTCTCCTGTCCTTCCCGGCCTCCACTAGCCCTTTCTCGGTCTGTGTCCAGTTGTGTTGCAGGTCTCTGCAGCTTGGTCCCCAGGCTGGAGGGCGCACAGGCTTTGGGCAGGATGCCTGCCCTTCCTCTGCCCCAGAGTTGAAGCTGGAAGCCTGGAGCCCACCCTGAAGAGCTCCCTCCACCCACTCTGCGCTCTGGCCCTGCCAACTCTTTTTGCTGGGATCCCACAGCAGCAGCGGCAGGGAGTCTGGCAGGCGAGTCCGAGTAGTCACAGCGGGGAGGCTCACCTTCCATGTCCCTGGTGACAGTGCTGAAGTGCATCCCTGCCGGGGATTCCAGCAGCCGGTGAAGCTTCGCCCAGCCGGAGGACCCGGGACCCAGGCGAGCGGTGCGCTCTGCGGCCTCTGCTGCAACCAGAGAGGCGATGCTGAACGCGCTGGCCCGGGGAGACAGCGGGCTCCGCGAGTCCATAGGCGCCCGGGCGGCCTGGCCGGCGCCGCCTCCGAATGCGTGCACCCAGCCGCACCGAGGCCGGCCCAGCCCACGGGACCCGGGGGCGGGAGCCTGCGGTGCCACTCACAGCCGCCGGCCCCTGGCCCAGGGGATTATGGCGTCACAGCCCCCCACTCCTGGCCAGTGGCAGCCAAGGGGCCCAAGCGGGTGGAGCGCACGGGGAGCACAGGGCCCTTCTGCTTTTCAAGCTCCTTGGCCCCTCGCTTCTGCTCCCAGGAACCTCCATGACCAGCGCCCCTCGAATATCCCACTGCTCCCGCTGAGGCTGGGGTTCCCTCTGTACAGTGAAGCTACCTTCAGCTTCTACAGCCCCAGAGGGGAGGCGGCTATATCGGGACCACCCAGCCCCAGCCCCCGGCAACCGGGCACCGGTGAAGCACCAAGGGGCTGCCAGGGCCCAACCCTGCCCCTGCTCTCAGCCCCTCCCGCCTCCTCCTCCCTGGCTGCCCCTGCACCTGGGTGAGGAGAGGGCAGTTCGAGCTCCAGCACCAGCCACAGGCGGACAACCCCAGGGCTGTGGCGTCGTCCTGGCCTCTGTGCAGCGGAACAGGACCTAGCCCAGCAAACGCCCCTTGCCCTTTTCGGTCGGCTCACTGTCGTGGCTGGGGACCCCGAGCAAGCAGAGGGACGCCGCCCAGGCTGCACAGCCCAGGAGCCCAAGCGTCACGCGCACTCGCGCGCGCACCCGCCCGCCTCTGGCCAGGACGCTTATACATCCGGAGGGTGGGCAGTGCCCGCTCCTCCGACCTCCCCACGCACCGGCCAGCGGCAGGGAGGGCCGGGGGCGGGGCCTGCACTGGCCGAGGGAGCCGAGGACACGTCGGAGGAGTTCGGGCCTCCAGGTCCGGTGGTGTACTGCCCCTCACTTGCCACCCACCGCACAGCCAGCTTGCCTGCCTGGGGCACTTAGGCCCAGCAGAGTAAGGCAAGGCCTGCCTGAGGCCTCAGGGCCTCTAGGCCCAGGCATCGCAGATGCAAAGGCCTGGCTTGGCCTGTGCCTTCCTGCTACCTACTGCTTCTGAGGCCTCCTCTGACCATTTCAGACATCCATGGCCTTCCTGTCCAGAGTCTCCCAGCAGGGTGTCAAGACTCCCTGCCTCCCAGGAGCCTCTGGCCCTGCACTGAAGCTCTGGCAGTCAGGGCCTCCTTGCAACCATGTTGTCTGCCTGTGCTTGCCTGGATGGTGTTGGGGGGTAGGCAGGCAGCCTTTCCCAGGGTTTTTACAATCCCGGGCCTCAGACCCCAGGCTGGAGGTGCTGGCTGGAAGATGGGGAAGGCCCAGGAACTGGGGACCAGGGAGTAGGCTCCAGTGGAAGGCAACAGGCTCCTGGGCCTGAGGTCCAGGAAAGAGTATGAGGCCAGAGTGCAGCTGGTGAACATGTGGGTAGTGCTGTGTGTGACCTCATGTACAGTGAGCCCCCTTCCCGCCCCCCAGGCTGCAGTGGCAGCTTTTTGGACTGTGGAGGTAAAGGGAAGCTGTTGCCAGGGTATGCTCCCCTAAATGGCTGTTCCAGGCTGTGACAGTGACAGTGACCTGTGGGGCTTAGGGGCAGGTCCAGGGAGAAGTATGATATGGGGACTAGCCAGGCTTGAGGTCCTTGTCTCTTCTTGAGCAGGGCCAGTCCACTCCCTCCCTCCAGGACACCAGGAGAAGCTTCTCCTGATAGAGGGGAAAGCCCAGCTGGGAGGGGATGGCATTGGTGGGGGCAGGTCATGGTTGTGTTGCAGGAGATGTGTCCAGTGTTGGCAGTCCCTACCCAGAGAGGCGTGCAGTGCACTGTGGTGTCACCAGGGGTACCTATCGCTGTTGGCTGCACCCACCTGCGGTCTGTGTGTGGGTCCGTGTGGGCTCTAGGTGAGGTGGGCTCCTGCATGTGGCTGTGCTGGGATCCACCTTGTCCCAGCATGTGGGGGTACCGGTGGTTTTACTCTCCGCACCTAGGGGAGCCTTCCTCTGTATCTGGGTGAACACTTGAAGGCATTGGCCAATATTGAGAAGGAAAAAGTGAAAGTGAAAAACCCTGGGGCTTCCTGGAGACTCACAATTAGCCTCCTGGGACCATCCTGAGGTGCCAGGCCCTCCATGTCAGATAGTGGAGGGGAGAGGGGTTCCACCCAATCCCTCATTAACTCCTTTGTGCTCGAGCTGGGACCTGCGGTGCCTGGCTGTGTTGTCAAAAGCGCTGAATTTGTCAAAAGAGAGGATTCTGCGGGGTCCATGACAGGGCTCTGGGAAGGGGTGAGGGCCGCTCTGTTTGCCCAGTGACCCCGTTCCGTCAGCTGCCGATACTCACTCGCCCGACTGCAGAACCCCGGATCCCTCAGCTCCACGCGCGGGCCCTCCTCGAGCCCTCCACTTGGAGGGGCCCGAAGCGCAAGGCCGCCAAGAGCCTCCAGCTTGCGGCGGAGCCGCTGACTCCACTACACACTGGGGCAGAGCTCCTCCGACCCTCCCTCCGTTCCTCCTGGGGCGCCGCTCCGCCCTCTCGCTCCGCGGCTCTCCGCCGCCCGGCAACCCGCCCTCGCTCCTAGCCGCCGGCGCCTTCCACCCCTGGTGCCAGCCGCAGTCCAGAGGGAACGCACTCGTCGGTGGTCCTGCGCCCCGCACACCCGGTTCCACGCACGCACGTTGCGCCGCCGCCTGCGGGCAGGCTTCCTCCCTCACCTGGACTCGCCGTGGCTCCCTTCCGTCTCGCTCCCCCTGCCGGCCGCACCTCCATTACCGCAAGGTACGAGGCCTGGCTGCGCCGGCCAGGAGGGCAGAGCAAGGCTCGGGGTCTTGAGCTGCACAGGGTGGGCTTTCTTAGGGCGTGGTGTACGGTTGATGCCTGGGCTGCGCGGCCCGCCCCTCCGCCTGGGACGACGGAGAGTGAAGGAAGACTAGACCCGCACTTCGCCGAGCCGGCTGGCTGCGAGGTGGGTGCTGTGAGACCATTTCACAGGCCCTAAAACCGAGGTTCGGCTTTGACTGGCAACGGATAGGTACGGGGTGGGGACCAGAAGTCTGGCGGAGGACGGGGGTGGGTGAGAAGGCGGCGGCATGGGCGGCTGGGGCTGGGGCTGCCGTCCCTCCTCGGCAGGGATGGGGTCGCAGCCTTCGCTTCTCCCTCTGCCCTGCGCAGGGTCCCACGTGGGCGCTAGGCTCTGCCCAGTACTGCCCCGGGAGCCTTGCGTGCCTCCGCTCACTCACCACCTCCTTCCCCCAGCATCTTCAGAGTGTCTCCTGAAGCACGCCTTATTTCAAGCTCTGTTTCGGATGTTTTCTCCCTAGCGCGCA